TCCCTGAAATATAACTGATTTTTTTTTAAAGTTTTGGTATATCTGCGATTTGTAAGGACTGCTTGTTATTTCCACTGCTTTCTGGGTTATTGGTGTACTGTGAGAAGACGAAAGGCCAGTTGGATTTAGATTTTTCTTTGCTCAAGGTGATATTTTTTCAAGAACTGTCCTAAATCTTTTATTTTCATTATTACTCCTATCTTCATCATCATCACTACTAGAAGGTGAAACAGGGGTTCTGCAATTAGCTTATAAAATAAGTCTTAAGCACGCTTACGCATACTTCGTCTCGGAGATGAATGGTTGCCATTCCCATAAGTTTTTCGAAGAGTAGCATTCCTAGGGCTAATTATAATTTATCCAGGAAAAAAATGTCGTTGCCGAAATTGGACCAACTGTTTTCGGTCCAACTTAGGAAACTTGAATACTTAATGCTTGATATTATACAGAAACGTCAAACTAACATAACCTCGCAAAATTATAATTGCAAATTGTAGATAAATTAGCAAGTTTTGTGATGGTATAATAAGACATGTAATTACTTTCGTTTAGACAAATTAACTGCTTTCACACTTATTTCGAAATAACAGATTTTCTTCTTAGCCAAACGAATAACACTTCTCTCAATGTAACCACAAGGAATTTCTTTACAAACACAATTGCATTAACCTCTTCTACATCTACGTATAACAAAATGAGTACTCAAATCTCGCAGATATCATCAGTCCTTGTATATCATAGCGGTCCAAATAAGGCTACCTTCCCCTATGCTATCTTTTAATTATGATTATGCAAAATAAAAAATTATCTCCTATTGTATAAATAGGTCAGAACAAATTGTTGAGTAAATCATACTTATTTCACATGAATTCTTCTCATTTTCCCCCCTAAATTTACTTTAGGAAACTCTACACCACAATGGCATTCTGCAGCTGAAACACCATAATGGCATTTAGGGAAACGAAAAAGTTTGTATTCTAGTTATATGAAATTACAGTATATATGCTTTTAAAAGCCTTATATGTTTTTGCCTTATTTACAGGTGTCTAAATAAACAAGGAAAACCATATAGTATAAAATTATAAGAAGATGTAAATGAAAACAATGAATTGTATAATTTATTATTTTTGCTTTAAATAAAATGCCCTTATGGAATTCACTAATAACATTCAGGAAGGGGAGGGGAAAAATATGTGAAATGTTCTACATTAAATGCTCTGGTAATCCATTTTTTTAAATAATTATTACTTGTGTAATTGATATTAAGGTTAGAAGTTCTGTTGTACACAAGATATGGCTATCCTCAAGCCAATTTCTGGCTCACATTCTTAAAAATTTTCATCTAACATGTAAATAAAATTCTACCATTTAAGAAGTACAGTATATATAGTATTCAAATTAGTGTAGTATGCAAATTAAAAAAAAAAAAATGACACTTTCTTTTTCATCAGCCAGCAAACTCAACAATCCTCTTACAATTCATTGTGAGAAAAAAAGTGTACTCTATACAAAAACATTAATAAAAAAAAAATGACTGTTGAATTCAGAAGGTGAAAATATGCATATTTTGTCACAATCTCTAGTTATAAGTAATTTAAATCTTTTTTTTTTAGAAAGCTTAACTCTTAGCACTAGAACATAATTATAATTAATATAATATTAGTTTGTATATAAAACACTTAATTTAAATAACACAGCATGCACCGAAAGCAGCAGAAAATGATTAAAAATGTCTAAAACAATTAAAAAATCAAGTCAAATAACAATACCTATAACCAAAGCAAATTCTGGAAATCAAATGGCAAACAACGATCTGTACTATTGGCATAAAAATGCAACTAAGGCAACCCCTTTCACCCAATATTGCCAGGTACACTTTTCGCATTTGTCTGTGCACATTGTGTAATCATCATTCTGAAAACTTTCATGTGGAAAAAACATAAAATACATTCAGAACCTTAAATGTATATATATATATATATATACATGAAATGAATAAAAAAAACCACATTTTTATTTAAATTTGTGAAATTTATTCTTTTATATATATATATTTTTAAACAGTAATTAATTATATACATATATGAAAATTTAATAAAGTATTTTTAAATAGTACAGACATGAATAATGTTATGCGTGATTACATAAATAAAGTATTTTTAAATAGTACAGACATGAATAATGTTATGCGTGATTACATAAATAAAGTATCTAATATTACATACAACGAGGCCTGGCACTGGGTGGTGGAATTTAGAGGCATCGGCTGACAAAATTTTAAGAGCAGCAAAGATTATGCAGGGTGAATGCATTGACCCAAAATTCTCTGAATTATGAATCATATTGAAGCTTCATATACAGTATGATATCTACTCAAAGTTTCCCGTTAACAAATAAAAAATGAGACGGCAACTTTCCAAAATCTCATTTTCGTTAACTATGTTATTTACTTTGAAGTGTAATCATATAATTATATGACGGTCAAACTTGGAAATCGATGGAAAAAGACATACTCAGAATTGTCAAATTAAAAAGATTTTTGTTAAACTGCACCTGCACTTGAAAAATAACTATGACTCAACGTTGATGCAAATATTTACAAAATACAATAAATAAACTGCACCTGCACTTGAAAAATAACTATGACTCAACGTTGATGCAAATATTTACAAAATACAATAAATAACTCCATATATTAATGGCAAAAACAACTATGATAACGGAACATTAAAATATGATTAAAATGAAAAAATTCCATTTCTCAGCTAATCACTAACTTCATAACATTATATGACAACTGTTTGGAAGAAAACAATTCTGATTTCGCAAATATTCTCTTCTAATGAAACACATTATACAAGAAATAAAAAATTCTGAGATAATTTCAGGTGGATTTTAACTAACAGCCAATGCACTAGTGTGATAATATAAATACATATATGTATGATAATTCTTATCACCAGAATATCGGACATTATACTGCAGTTAACAGCAATACAAAAGGCATTTGAGGAATATGAATGAAATCTTTTCAACAGCACATAATAGCAACAAACATTTAATACAAAAAGAAAGCTAAAAATCAGAAGACAGTTGCATTACAGAAAATATACGAAATTAAGCTGAACTTTTTTTTATTTCCAATGCTGATTTTTCTTTAGATATTCTCTGGTTATTTCAACTAAGGAATTATTTCATGATAATGATAAAAGTACAAATATTTACAAGCTTTCGATAGTATAAAATTATTGCTATTAGAAAAGTAAACGTTTATTTGTATGCATATAGAATACTAAATTTAGAAATGAAATTAGAAAATGCTTATACGTAAAAAACTTATTCATGCTGGAAAGTAACACATGCCTGTTAATAGGTAAGCAATAATTCCCAAAATATTTTGGCTTTCCTTACAGCATCTATCATATACAAACCTGAATTTCCATAGAATATCCAGCAACATTTAAATAAAGCCTTATTTCCTAGCATGAATTCTTACAGCCAAGCGAATCATAAACTCCATTACCAATAATTCGACAGAATTGTATTGATCTTTCAAATGCCAGAAATTAATCATGATTGTGATTTTGCCGGTCATCAGAACAATATAACTTCAGCTATCTTGTTTACAAAAATGCTGTTAAGAGTTTGTGGAAACTCTGATCTAGTCGCAAAATTTGCCATAACCGTGACGTTGTTTTCTGAGGTGCGTCTTCAAAGCGTCGCACTTGAATTCGGTTTACCAGCTAACGGGCAATTGTGTTTGGAAATGTTGCACTTGAATTCGCCCCTAAACAGATTAAATCGCTGAAAACCAATATCCAGTACTTAAAAATAAGATGACTACATGAGAATTTTTTCTGAGTTTTTCTAAAAACATAAGCAATTCCTCCTTAAAAAATTTCCTAACCTTACCCAAATAGCAATTTGGAAATTTCAGACTGCAATTTAATACCTCAAATAAAAGTTCAAGTTATAAAATAAGGTTAAAAATTTAAAAATAATTGCTATCTGATCCTTGAACTTAGGATTCTAGTTTACAAACTAAACCAGTTTTAAGGTAAAATGTTGTAATATGCCTACTAGTTTATGAATTTATTTCCATAAATTCAAGATATAGAATATAAACACCATAAATTTAAAATCAGCTATTCAAAATAGAAGTGCCAAATGGTAGTGGGAAATAAACATCCTGTGTCATTATTCTATTTTAAATAAACATCTACACTGATACAGTCAAAAGTCGTTAATCCGGACTCGTCGGGTCTTCGGCAATTCCGGATTATCGATTTTTCTGGATTATAGATCATCAGTTTAAATCGTGTAAGATGGCATGCAGAAATTCTAAAATTAAAAATATGAAACCGTAATTTATGAAATAAAGAACAATTATGATCTAAAGAGTATCAAAATTTACAAAAAAAAAAGCTTAATATTTATTTGTTTACTTTATTAAACATTTCTTTCAATGTAAGTTGTTTAATTTGCTTCGTTTTATGTGATAATACTTTCTCTTTAATTCTATAAACAGACATAATTTTTTGTTCAGTTACAAAGTTCTGCTGTTCAAGTCCCGTTAATTGCCGTGCCTAGAATACTGACTAACTTGTGAATCAAAATTTTTTTGTTTTCACTAACCTCTCTGTCACATTCTTCATGTCTTTATCCATTTTTTTTGCAGCAATTCCACTTTTGTTTGATGGACATCGAAACATACTTCGTTTTGTACGATCCTTGGGAGCTCCAGATCGGAAATTCTATTTGACATAATCAAAGTTCAAGTTTACTTTTATAGTATTGCTCTTACAGTCTGCAAAAAATAATAAGTCGGATCCAATTCGAAAATTACGGAACAACGCAATCATCAACATTAACTGACATAGATAATTAGATGATTTTAGCTTATACCATTCGTTATACATAAAACGCGAACGCAAAAACGTATTCTGCTCTTGCACACACGCAAATGCGCAGTCGTAGGAGGTCTTACGCGCACACGTAAACACCTATGCACATGTGTCAACGCGGCGCATGCGCAGAAAGTTTTTAGCTTTGAGGTCCAGATTATAGATCATTCCAGATTATGGGTGTCCGAATTAACGACTTTTGACTGTATTTGCATTCATTCCATAAAGAGAAGACTTAATTACTTTCAGACATTGCTGTACAATTTTTCCATTGCATTACTCATTCAAAACTTTTACAACAAATATTTCTCAAAAATAAAATGGCAACAATCTCTATTTTGGTAGGATGTAAAACTCATATAGTAAAAATAATAACTTTTTTAAGGCATTAAAAAACATTTATACAGATAATTCCTGAAGTGTGCAAAAATCAACCTTCCTTGTTAAGTATCATATATTGGTAATACAGTTAATCACATTGCACATTTAATGGCAAATTTTTTAAAGTAATACTATTACCAGTTGCCAATCTCCTACAGCCATTATGAAAGACAAAAATAATTATGATAAAAAAATCAGAATACGGAAACATTTTTAAATGATACACTTTGATATATTCTATTTTACTCATGTATTCCCTCCTTTTTTTTAGTAATTCATCGCATAAAAATCTAGAGGAACATTAGGCGAATAATTTAATTTCCAAAGGAGGAGTTACACTAAGAACATAACAAATGAAAAGTAGCCATAGATAAACTATCTGTAGCTATCATATTCATTTAAAAGAAACCTACATTTCAATAAAAATGCCTACTTATATCTAATAAGACATCTCTATCATATTCATTTAATGAAACATACATTTCAATAAGAATACCTAGCAATATCTAATAAGATATCCCCATTTCTACTTCACTGTATCTTGAATTTCACCTGCTCTTATTGCTGTCACTGCTGCTCTCTAGGCCTGAAATCATTTAATACTGCTGAAATTGATGTCTGTGTCATCTACTACAATGTAATTTATCGCCGTTATCACCACTGTTATCATCTTTGCCACTGTTCAGTCTGCCTTTCCATGTGCAACAATCTTCAGAACCATCAGCATATTAGGTATATGCAAGTTCTTCATTACTACTGCTTCATCAATCATAGCCCATACACCCAAAATCCATAAGTAAATAAATTAAGACAAAAACATACAATAGGTAGATGAGTCCATTTCAAAATTTACGGAAGCTCGCTTTTGGAACATCTTGAAGAACAGAAAAACTACATGACAATTTAAAAATTTTTCAGGACCTTGTGCTAAAAAGCTACTGGGGGGGGAATATATGAGTAAATCAGTATTTCCAAAAACTGAATTATAAAATTTTTCATGAGTTACTAAAATAAAAACAAACATAAGACATTTACTATGAATATATTCTGCCTACTACAGCAGACTTCTTAAAATTACGTTGGTTTCTCCATAGTAATTAAACCAACCAGACTGATATCTTTTAGGATTTATACAGTATGAAATTAGCTTTTATAATTATAATGAACATAAGCATATATCAGTTATTATAGATTTGGTTCTAGGCTGAGCATAAACAATTAAAACATCTAAAATGAGATTTAATTCCTATGCCCCAACAACAGCATATGCATCATTAATAGAGGGCATATGAATTTTGCTATTTGTATTAAATTCTAAATTAAGTAGAATCATCGCAATAATTGGAGAATTTTAAATAACTCTTAATGTTACAATATTGATTTAACTAAATTGATTATGAAGTTTGCATGACATATTAATTTTTAATATTTTTGTACTCATGAATCCGGATTCTTTTCACTTTCATGGAACCTTAATGCTGTAATTTTATTATAATCAAATCTTGCTAAAAATCAATCTAACATGGTCATAATGCCCCCCAAAAATGTACTCAAACTAACTTTAAAAAAATCTTTAGTATAGAATTTTCAATAACACAAATAAAAAAGTGAATAAATTTATTTCAGCCATCCAAAAGGTTTACCAAACCTGAATTTTTTCTGGTCTTTAAAACTTTCAGAAAGTTTCAAGAAAACTAAAATTGAGAATTACAAAGGTTAAATTTAAAAAAAAAAATTGCATGAGCTTGATTTGTTTGAACCCTAGACCTGAAGCAAGATCTTATCATTCAATTATATAATTAATTGATATTAATAATCTCTCATCATTCAAAATTATAGAATTAATTTACATTAATCTCTTATCATTCAAATTATAGAAAAGCAACATACATTGACAAACAATCAATTGCAAATGTGGTTAAAAATATATCAAATACTGCTTATTTCAATTCACGTCACAATGCAAAGCTCCAGGAATGGATTGCATATGTAAAATGAAATATATTCTATGGCAAGAAAAATTTTAATAATTTCACATGATAAATTGCATTATTTCAGATTCTGTTCCCTAAAACAGCACAAACATTATTATGTACTTCAGCATCTTATAGCACAAAGGGATCCCAGTTCTGAAACTGGGAACCTCTTAAAGTCCCCCACTTTTTTTAATGTGCTCTATGTCCTTTGTACTTAAAAAATGGAGACTAAGATAAGATCACTAAATGCTGGCATTATAATCCAAGTTCAAACATGGGATTATAAAAGATATACTTATTACTGAATAGCTAAATATACCACAAATAAAGATTACTAAGCACTGGCAGTTTGACCTAGAATCAAGTCCCAGTAAATTGATTGGCTGCATGGGGTTTCTGTGGTTTTCCCCATATATAAAATTCACATGAGACAGTTTCTCTTAGAAAGTACATTGCAAATGCATCCCTCCCTTAACTTGTAAGCCTTCATTTGCTTTGTCACAACTAATTAATCTAACGCTGGAAATAAAACATTGCCGAAATCAGTTGTTCATAGAATATCTTACTCAGAACATCTATTTTACATGATTTCAAATATATATGCTCATCTGCAAGTTTTTCAGATAGTTCCTGGAAAAATATCTTAAGCATGTTAAGTGCACATAGTTTTGACCACTTAATTTGATTCCTTATGTACTTCAAATAAATAATTTTAAGTAATATGCTTCTTTATAACTACTCAAAGCTTATGTTATTTTTAGCAGCTTCAAATCACAAGTTTTCAATGCCCATCCAATTTCCCCTTGAGTTTAAACTGAAACCATTTCAGAAGACAGAAATGAAACATTTGAAAGAAATTAAGAAACAGATGAAATACTCTTTTAATATCAAGTATGAAAAATGCCTAAATTTTCCCATTGTGAGATTATTTTTGCACTTAATATCTTGATTGTTGGCCAAAGCTTAATTTTAGCAATATTACTTTTATTTATTTTAAGAAAACATAGCCTTCATGAAATCCTATGTGTCATGGAGAATGGAAGACTACACAGAATGCAAAAGATTTTCAGTCTTCAGAATAATTCCCATTTTCATTACATAACACTACCCTGGAGATTAATTAGCAGTCAAAATTATGCATTTTATTGGCAGATAATATGTCAAGTATAATGTTTCATGAACATTATTCTTCTGAAATTGAACCTTCCATTTACAACGCCATTCAAGGCAGCATATGTAGTCAGTATGGAAAATATTTCACATCATTTTTCCTGCAGATTCCTAAAACTGAAATAAGAGTTCTTTTATATTAATCTACTGCTTAAAAAATTAGAAACAGTCATGTAGTAGTCTAAGAATATTGCTTTGTTAACATTATATTAAGAAAAGAGACTTTCAATTAAAACCTCTAATGTGTAATATTTCATGAAGTCAATCCAATATGCTATGCTATACAGATATTCCAAATTTACAACCTACAGATCTGCAAATAAAATTGCTGACCGACAGCTCAACAATGCTTAAAGTAGTAATAGTATTTTAAATGGATTAGAATTTCACAAAGTAGTGTTTTCAAACTTCACAAGACATCCCAGATAATACTTTCTATCCCAAAGATATAGTATCTTACTTCTGCTGGACTATATAAACTATTTTCTCTAGGACAAAATTTTGAAACAGAATGCATGTTCTTTATGAAACGTGTTCTGCAAATAATCTTTATGTATATTCAATACAGCCTAAACAGTGTTAAGATCTTAAGATAAGCGGTCATCTCAACATTTGAATCGTGTTCTGCAAATAATCTTTATGTATATATTCAATACAGCCTAAACAGTGTTAAGATCTTAAGATAAGCGGTCATCTCAACATTTGAATCGCGATTAATACTATTCCACAATAAAATCAGATCGCATTTCTATAACTTACTTCAGCTCTGGAATACTTCATGTAAACCATGCTAGGAAGTTTGTCAAATGTGACATTTCAAAGCTTCAGTAGAATCACATTTATCCCTTATTTTCCTTGGAAGGAAGAAAAAATTAATAAAATATAATTTAGCACATGCAGACCATTTACTTTAGCCTCAAGTAACCTGTATGCATTATAATGTTTTAACTTTCTTTTTAAAGTATACTATATATGCTTAAAAATACTGTATAAATTTGGAATTAAAATTTTAAAAAATACATAAACAATATTTTACATGTAATTTTTAAAAGAGTTTAATAACAAAAACCATAAGCCCTAACTATTGATGATACATTTAATATATTTAGTATTCAATACCCATGGGGCATTACAGCATTATTCATAGAATCAAGATTCTATGCTTATTTAAGATATTGAGAAATCGAAGCATGTAAAAAAATTACTTTTCATTCTAATCTATGATTGCAAAGGCTAACTTCTAAATCCAATCTACAGACTAAAACTTTTATTGTAGATACACAATCTACAAATAATAAAGCATCACAGTAATTATTAATTACTTTAATTATATGGATAACGTACAGTATTTTAGAGAACTAAAGCAATATTAAACTTTGAATGATTAATTTATTAGAGCTAACCTTTGCATACTTCATTGAAATGATTTCAGTCAAAATGAGAGACATTGCAGTTATAATAGCTTATACAACTGCAATCATATCCATTGTAATTAAAAATGCACTGACAGATTAACAACATTTAACAAAAATGGCACACACGTCTAGATATGCTAGAAATTATATCCTCTAGCTTTTTTCAGATCAGGCTTCAGCACAAAACACAGAATAAATGAATGAATGAAGAAATAGAAATATCAAGATGAAGACTGAGTTGTTTAAAAAATTAATAGTTATCAACACAACAGTTCTTTGAGTTAAAGTTGCATTAAATTGTACTTATATAATGGTATCAGAAAGGAAATGCACAAGACGTTGGTTTTATTTACCAAGCATCATGCTTGTCAGTTATTAAAAGGGAGAACAGATCCAGCTGTACACAACTAACACATTTACACATCACGCTACAGGAACTCCAACAGCATGACAGATATGAAAGACACCATCAAACATGAAAGTCAATGGGGATGCATGGTGGCCCAAAAAAAAACCATGAGTGCCTAATATGATCACATTCAGGAATGACTTTTGGCAATTCACTTTGTGCTAAAATTTTACCTTTCAGCTAGCAGGGAAAGACAGTTCTTGGCCCATGGAATTTACACCACTGGAAGCTCCAGAGACAGGAAGTAACAGAACAGATGAATTAGGTTCTTCAGATAAAGACAAATGAGCATGGCTATTTGATGTTTTCACTTTGTTAGGAATTTTCCTATTGAACACAAAATATTTTGCATCATTATATAAAAAATAATTAAAATGGAAACTTGAGTTTTAACATGCTACTTAAAATAAAGTACAGGAAAACCTCGCTTAATGTGAATTTAATTTGAGCAGTAATGAAGATGTCTGAATGAAATGATACTTTTCTCCTTTTTACATAAGTAACACCTCAGTTAATCGAATTTTATTTTTACTCATTTATTTTTTTCTTTACAGTAATCCCCAGAGTTATGCAAATAATGCAATTCATAAACCTTTATTTGATTTTTATGCAAGTCGAATTTGTAAACTGCTTAGGTGTAACTGTAAGAAATAATATTTTTATATCTATGCATATTATTTACACAGTATAATTTTATGAATGAAACATCATGCAGCACTATTTACTTGGATATAAAATATAAATATAGTATAGTCACTTAGTTTTGACCACGATGAAATCATCATCATCACCATAAGATGAAAAGTTGAAAATAATTCATATAAATGAAAATGAAAATAAGAGAAATTACATGAACATCTGATATTAATCAGCCTATTTTGAAAATGAGATATGAAGGCTTTGTTGAGAGCATCAAAGATATCATAATGTTGTAGGGTGCAAGCTTCACCAGTAAATGTCTAGGCCCAGTTTCATAGATGGAGAAATGTCTCAGCAAATCAAAGATCTGATACAGAAGTCAATACTGTTGAGCTTTTTCCACTTCTTCCAGGCTTAAGTCCTTTCGCTTGACATTTCGACAACTTACAAGTTAAGCATACAAATTTTTAAAAATGCTTTTTCCAGTGATTTAGTCGAATCTGCTGCTTTGTGATAACAAGCATGATGAATGTTTTTCTTTCTTTTCCTTCATTCTACAGTTGAAACTCATTTTCCTTTGAAAGACTCTTAATGTACTAATGCTTAGAAGCGTTCACAGGTACAGGATTAGGGGGGTATTTAAGTAAAACCCATTTTAATGACAAACTGTATATCTGACTGATAAAGCCACAGTACGTTAAATGAATGAATTACAAAGAGCTTTGATAGGTATAAGTAGGATATTCTGGTACTAAAGAATCAGTCTTTTGTCAATCTGAGTTTAGTAAGTGGCAGAGATGAATTTAACAAATGGTATTTTTTCTATTTATTAGCATATATTTGCTTTGGTTCCTGGAAATTTGAACTAATAAGCAGCTAAGTTTCATGACCAGCGAGTTTTACAAGTGATGGGGAATACATCTGTGACTTTGATAAGGATGATAAACACCAAAACAATGCTGAATTCCAAGAAGCATCATCTAAATGTACAGCTACCAGGCTGCATCATCCAAATATACTGCTATCACAGTTCAGTTCTTTTCTTTGTAACTCAAATTCACATTTTTGAGACAATCTATTCTTCCAATGTATTTGTAATGCTTTAAATTTTATTGTATTTTTATATATATACCAAAAGGTGCATTATGACATTCATTATTAGCATAGCTCATATTTATGTTTTTAAGTTAACAAAATGCAGTTGAATGCTTAACAAAACAAACAAAAAATGCTTATTAAAACAATTTACAATGTTTCATAATGCTCTTGTTATTAATCCAGTAGAATAAATATATCAATCATAAAAATATTCAAGAAAATAAAATGCAATACACAAATAATTTAAAAACTACGATTTTTAAACATAAATTAATGCATTAACACATTATACCTCCCCCTCCAAACAATGTATCATATATGTGTGGTGACAATAACTAGCACATGCAAATCATTTAAATAGAGGTGAATAAATTTTCTTCAAAACACCACAAAGAAGAAAAAAGAAATTTTATTAATATAATAGTTAAGTACAGTAAAATACAAAAAATAATCTTTTATGAATCTGTACCTATAACATGGTGAAAATAAAGTGCTATATGATTTAAATTTCTTTCTCTTTTTAATAATGACAAAGTTTGATTGCTGGGGTTTTCTCGCATGTAAGCTAAAATGGGATATTATGTACTATACGTATAGCAAAAAAAGTTAATACACATGAAATGCAAGTTTCAGAAATGCTTCATTTAAGAGGTTAAGCATTAAGAAATGCTATTTAAAGTAAAAAATACACTTAAACAAACAATGAATCAATTTGCAGTAAAAAATGAAATGCTGAAGAAAATATTAAAATTTAATTCAGAATGGAGACAGTTGATACATGTACGCATTCACTTATACATCACAAATTAAAAGCAATTTAAGAATTATGCAATGTATCTATAAATATATACAAAGATTAAAAATATATAAGAAACTAAGCAGTCAGTCTTGAAGCACGCATTTTCTTTATCAACAATAAAATGAAGTTCATGTAAAAGTTATGTTTACTTTATAAACTCGTTTAAAATATTATAAGAAAAAATCTATGGTAATTCATGAGCACTTTTGAAAAACAAGGCTCTATGGAAGTGAAATAAATCAGAATATGAGTAATAAATATGTGTATGTTGCAGAAGAGGGGCAATTAATTATTTCCTTGTCATTTACTACAAATTTCCCAGAATTTCAGGAAGTAAAACACAGTATGGCTTACACGGTAGGTTAGCGGGCCATCTTGAGTAGACATGGAGCATTCTTTCCAATGGCTAAATGTTCAACAACAAAAATTCCTAGAAAAAAGATAAGGACAACACTTAGGGATAAACACTAGTTTCCATAGACTTTTTTTATCTAAAACAAACAGATATTCCACAGAGCCCTATTTTTCAAAAAAGCTGAACTCTGATACATAAAGATAAAACCTGATTCCAAATAAACATAGTTTTGATGAACTTTAAAGAATATACAGATGGTTTAGTCTAAAAAATTATCTTATATATTTTTAAGAAATACAGCATAGTACTAGATCCTATGCCTCAGTAAATTTATTGATAACGGAAAAGATTAGATTAGATTATCTGAATATGGCCAACACATGAGGGCTATCTGTTTATGGGGAGGGGTGCCTTCGTGGAGCACTTCCTATGGAAAAACACTCATTCTTTTTACATATGGGGAACTTCATGATGACCAACCATGCAGCCAAATCATTTGTCTGGGGGTAAACCGAGTCAAATTACCAGTAAGTACTCAAAGGTTTTAATCACTCGGCCACTCACACGGCCCATAATGAGCAGGATCGGGTTCAGTCACAAAGGTATTCAAGAATGGAAGGTTGAATTGTACTTATTATTTTATTTACAATTTAACTAAAAAAATAATGAATGATTTAGAAAAATTTTACTCTAAAATAATTTACAATTATTATAAATTATTTCATTCCTTGAAATTCATTCAAATTTCAAAAAAAAAAAAATCGTACCTGCAAACATGGGAAACCTGATGAAGGCGAATTTTATATATGGCATAACTACCAACCTTAGAATACAGGAAAAGGGAGATTCTTGTACAAGGAGTTTCTAGTAAGTTTCTAGTAAGTTTGAACAGAAGCCCAAATTGAATTAAATTCACTTCGTAACAACATTCAGGTTGTTGAATTACTTATAACATGATTGTGATGTAAACACATCAATATTTAATTATATATTCTATTTTTCATGCTCTTTGGCTAATTTCATTGTGAAACTTAACATTTTTATATTTGTAGATTACGAATACTCTGATCAATTAAACTAAAAAAGAAATATTATGCTCAAGATCATTAGAGATTAGATAATGAAACTGGCACACACCAAGTTTCTTTAATTCAATAAATTTTGTTTACTGCTGAAATATCTTAAATGCTAAAAATTCAAAGCTAGAAGAGTGATCTACTGTGATGTGATGAAAAACCGGGAGAGTTTGGCAGCTACGCATTTTGCCAATTACACTAATTTATTATTCACAATATTCAGCCCCATCTATACTAGTGAGTAAAACGTGAGCAGCTTTTCTGATTTTGGCCATAATTCCTCAAAAAATCAATTGGGAGACATGATACTCATACTAAAAAGACACAAAGTCAAAAAAAAAAAAATGAATAGGATGCATACAGTATAGAATGAACACAAAAAGGCTTTATTGACAGAATGGCACCTGTACAAAAAAGCCTGGATAAGAGAGAGAACAACAAACCAAAGAGCTTCCCCTAACTGCAATAGTTGTGTTGCAAAATCTGTTAATACTCAACACCAGATTATCTAACAGTTCTTGGGCAAAAGTTCCCGTTTTTCAAGGAGCATGCCACCAGGCATCTCCCTGAAGTCTTCCACACATGTTCAATGGGATTTACATAAAAGAAGCACTTTGGCTAATCAATTCTGTTGATATCTTTACTTCTCAGGAGCTCTCCAACAGCCAATATGGCCTGTGTGGCCATGAATTATCATCTATAAAAACAAATGGCACCCCAGAAAAAATGCATGTAAGGGACGATGAAAATGTGAAGCACTCTCTATCTGTTCATCATAATGTTTTCCCATACAAGAATCCTTTACAAGAATGCTAAGACCACACCAATGGTCTCTCCCCAATGTTAACAGGATGAATATGTCTCTCTATATCTCTCCATATCAACTGGTGCTGAGAATCATTTGTCAGACTGAAGCGACTCTCATCAGTTGAGGACATTATTCCACTGATGAGGTGCCGAATCTTTGTTTTCTTCCCACCACAGTAAATGGTGTTGCCAATGGGCTGCTGTCAGTGATATGCAGCATTCAGCATAGAGGGTGAACAGGCCACCTTTATGAAGTCATCTGGCCAAGGTAAAACCAGGACACCTGCAATCCAATTGCAACATACAGCTGCTAAACTATGCTGCACACTGTCTGGTTTTGATCCCTTTTAGTCTGCAAGGTGGTAGATCAGTCGTCAGTCACCGCAGTTTTCCTTCTCTGACATATCATCTTGGAAGGTTTTCCAAGCTTCTGAAAATACACTTTTATCAATTTCAAACTATTGGGTGATAGATGTCCAGATATAACTACACCCCTACTCAAGCTTCCCAATCATTCTACCTTGTGTAAAGCATCCTGATGTTTTCTTTTCAG